AATACATCTTACACACAAAACCACATTGAACAAAACACTAAATGTTCACTTCAAAAGTACAGGTGCACAAAAATGTGTGTTCTGCTGAAAAGCAAGTGGTTTAAAGCTGGTGCAGTGCTACATTATGATCTAACAAATAGCATAACCCACATTGCAACAGAAAAGTTAATACTGGCCAAATGCAAAAGAAATAAACTTAACACATTACAATTGTCTCAAGTGTTCAAAAAAGAACATTTCATTAGTATTGTTTAATGGATCAAAGCAGGGCTACTGCAAACAAGACCAATTGGTGAGTGCACATATTTAAAAGTCGCTGACAGCACTTCATGCATATAGGAGTGATATGTGGAGGTTGTTTGGCCTTGATGTCTGTAAAGTAGTAGCTCCCCAAGAATTTTAGTCTTGGGGAGTTTTTGGTTCAGTACTGATATCAGAATTCCCATAGACTTTGAATGCACCACACCTGCACAGCAGTTAGTCACGGCTCCTCCCTGCTCAGAGCTAGCGTGCTTTTCTTTTAAGGCCTTGGTCTGCATGGAGAGAGGTAACTTTCAAAACATTCCCATTTGGTTTTGAAATCTTAAGATATCTGTATAAAACGCGATTTTGATTATTATATTTGTATTGTAGAAACAGGAGATGTAATCGGTTGAGCAGGAAGATTTGCTGTATTATTGTGTTGAAGAATATCCTGGTGAGTTCACATGAACCTGTGAATGAAATATATATATTTTTTGAGATGTAAAACCAGTCAGGATATAATGTTTTGTAATATATGTAATTTTACTAGCTCTTTTGATTTATTGAATGCATTAGCACAGTGAGAAGGAGGCTAACACACCCCCCATGTGCTCTTCTAAAAAAGAAAATGCACTTTCAAGCTAGCTACATCTTGTGTGATGTTGCTGTAAAACCCCCACAAGGGGTTAACGTAAAATTAACCCTTCATAGGTGTCCTGGATTGTTTTTTCCAGATACAAGTATTGACTACTGACCATAATGATTTCTTAGACAGTGAACCACATGTAAATTGATAATTTTACTTTATATTTTTGTCTGTATAAATGTGGTAAAAACCAATTTATATTATGGTGATTACATGATTTATTTTCCAATTGAAGTAATTGCTCTGCACATTTGTGTGCAGGCTGTTTTTTTTTTTACATAGTTGCAGAATCTGCTGTTACAGCTGAGCAGTTCATTGTATGGACTGGACTAGACTCCACCAGAGATGTTGATGCAGAATGTTCCCAATGTGAATGCCATCCGGTTCCCTGGAGGGTGGTAGGAAAAACAAGGAAACTTAAGGATTTTTCTTCCCTTTCTTTCTGCGGATTCATAATTTTTTTCTTTTCTGAGATCTCTGACAATTTTTGTTGTTACTTTGTTTAATTTTTTTGATCAGATCTGATAAAACCACTTGATGCATCAGATTTATTTAAATTCAACTGAAATGGACAATTTTTTTTTCTGGTGCACTTATGGACCCTGGTATATCATACTGATACAATTTGTCAGACTTTTCTGATGTACTGCTCAAAAATACTATGAATTTACAGTATCTCTCTGTTTGGTTAACAGACGCTGTTCTTCTGGAGTTTCCGTAGACAAGTGTCTCTGATGTGCGCACGGCCATCAGACGAAAATGTAACAATGAGCAGTTCAGCCAAAAAAAGGAAAATAATGTGTGGTGGGCGTGTTTTTGTATGGTGGGAGGGTTTAGGGGTGCAATAATAAGGAATGTTGTTTTTCATTGTTCAGTATTCCTCTGCGTTCTTTAAAGTTTATTTGTAATGTTTAGGTCTGCTGCCTGAAATTGACATATTTCTACAAAGTGTACTAAAGTACCAATATTTGAAAATGTGTTGTAAGTTTTATAATGAAAATGGTTAACGTCGATATGTAAATGTTTATACATTCTGAGATAGTACAAGTTATATTATTTGTAATGTACTATAATTTGGACATGTTTCAAATACATTAAAGTATATTTTTTCATCTGCACGGAAGTATATCCACAAGTCTTTCAGCATTTAGTATACTGTTAATACATTTGCAAGAATGTGCAAGGTAGAAAGTAGTATAGCAATGTAATGATAAAGTATATTTACTATTAACTGCAAAGTATGCTTTTTTAGTAATTGGAATAAGCCAACAGTATAATTAAGCATATTATTACCACAGTAAGAGTATATTAAAAGTATAAAGCTTATATATTTTTAAGACACTAACAAATCATTTTTAATGTAGTTATAATACAACCATAGTGCACTTTAATTTGACTAATTAAGCATATATTAGTACATATAAACTCATATACTTAAAGTATACAAAATATACTTTAAGTTGTTCCACTTTAGCACATCAAAGTACACTAAATACACTTCAAGTTGAGCTTGTCCACAATTTAATTACAATTAAAATATATTTAGTACAAAATTAGTTGTTCCAAAATAGCATCCTTCAAGTTAACTAATCATAAACACACTTAAAGTATAGTAATGATTAGTGTGCCTTCAAGTACACAAAAGTATGCTAAATTTTAGTACACTTAGCACATTTATTTTTCAGCAGGGAATACTTATATATGGGAAAATGACAACACTTTCCTGCATAAGTTTTCAAGATTTTGCTTACTTCACAGAGTCAAGGTTGTCTCTCAAACAGAGTGAAAATGCGTTCCACTTGAAATGAAATGATCCACTTAAACTGTGGGGGATTCTGAAAGATGATTGGCTTCGGAGGAGGTGTGGTCCTAGGAAGATTGGCTGGGACTGGAACAGTTACATCATCAGTTGTAATGGTGAAGCTTATAAGAATCTTCCAGATTGAATTATTGGTTAAAGGTATAGAGGATGATCTTTTATTTCCTGGTGGATCATCTAAATAAGTGGTCATCCTAGTTGTCAATCATTCTGGTGATATTTTTATGTAAGGCCGTCCTATGTGCTAGTCCTGTTAGCTATCTTGATCTGCGGAAGCGCACTTTCAGGCGTATATCTGTGGTGAGGTACAGTTTCAGACAGCCATTGAAGCTCATCTTTCTCAACGTGGTACTTTGAAAATGGCAGAGTTTCGTAAAAGAAAAAGTGTCTACGAAATGTATGAGAAGAGAAGAAAGGCCTCAGAAGAGACAGATATATCCCAGAATGCTTGATATATCCCAGACTGCTTGATATATCCCAGAGAGGGAGGAGAGCTATCCTCGCAAAGCATTATGGGATTTGCTGTCACAAAATCCAGCTGTCACCATAGACTGCTGCTACCCGACAGCGGCAACTAATAACAAAGATTGCACAGGCACTGCGCAGTAGAACAACGGGGAAGTGATCATCTGCCTGAACGCTAGGTTGACTGAGTTCACTATAAAGTCCTTGCTGTATATAGTGATTGAGTGTGATTAGGGTGGATGTGCAAGTGCAGTAAGCTTTTATGAGATATCAGAACAGCAACTTTCAAACAGAGTGTTTTCTTTCTTTCTTTCTTTCTTTCTTTCTTTCTTTCTTTCTTTCTTTCTTTCTTTCTTTCTTTCTTTCTTTCTTTCTTTCTTTCTTTCTTTCTTTCTTTCTTTCTTTCTTTCTTTCTTTCTTTCTTTCTTTCTTTCTTTCTTTCTTTCTTTCTTTCTTTCTCTCTCTCTCTCTTTCTCTCTTTCTTTCTTTCTAAAAAAACAGCAGCACCAAACTTTTACCCTGTCTGAAAATATGTGCCTCCAAATGTGTTGACTTCCTGGTGACTCACAATAAAACAAATCTGCACTATCGACTTTTAAAATAGTAGTAAATTATTAAAGGAATAGTACACCCAAAACATGATTAGCCTTCATTTTCTACTCACCCCCATGCTGAACAACACTCTGGAGTACTTTTTTGATATCTCAAATGCATCTGGAGATCTGGGAGGCTTCTTGCTGTCTGCTGACATTCAAATAATGGAGGTCTATGGTGACCGAGACAGAAAGGTCCATAAAAGTCCACAAAAAACGTGTCAATATTCCTCCATACTGCTCGTCCAATGTATTCCAAGTGTCCTGAGTGGGTAGCGTCCAGAATTTACTCGAAACGAAGTCATTTATAATGTTTTTAGAGCATAAACAGTAGTGTATAGGATTTCCTGAAAGCGCGCACATGCGCGTTCACGTCGCTACGGAAGCCGGCAGACCAAACCAGATGAAAGTGCGCATTCAGCGTCTGCTCTGCCAATAATGCAAGCGTAGAAGAAGAAATGTGCCATTTACCTGTGCAAAGAAAGAAACAACGAAAGAAAAACGTCTGAGGACTTCAGTGTTGAGGAAGAGCATGAGTTCTTTGCCGTGCTGAATGCGCTGGTTTGGTCTGCCGGCTTCCGTAGCGTCGGGATCGCGCATGTGCGCGCTTTCCGGAAATCCTATACACTACTGTGTATGCTCTAAAAACATTCTAAATGACTTCGTTTCGAGTAAATTCTGGATGCTACCCACTCAGGACACTTGGAATACATTGGACGAGCAGTATGGAGGAATATTGACACGTTTTTTGTGGACTTTTATGGACCTTTCTGTCTCGGTCACCATAGACCTCCATTATTTGAATGTCAGCAGACAGCAAGAAGCCTCCCAGATCTCCAGATGCATTTGAGATATCAAAAAAGTACTCCAGAGTGTTGTTCAGCATGGGGGTGAGTAGAAAATGAAGGCTAATCATGTTTTGGGTGTACTATTCCTTTAAAGGTCTGACTTTAAAAAAATACACTCGCGTATACAAAATGACGAAATAAATCAGTCTCTCTCTCTCTCTCTCTCTACAAAAACATAAACGTAAACTGATGGTTTTTAAGTAAACTAACAGCTAACCTAAATACAATATCCTTTATGTTTTATTAAAAGAAATTTGAAACCTAAGATTTTGACATTCTTTGTATACTGCTGAACACACATAATATAATGAGTTATACAAAGAAATTTAGAAAAAAAGATCAGTTGTACAAGAAAACATTGATACTGTATCCATTTGCTTCTTTACCTTGCATGAGCAAACAGCACAACGATCATAGGTTGGTCTCCAATCTTCTCCATTGCGTCTTATAACGTCTTCTTGTGGACAGTTACCGCTGCAGCCTGGACCAGATGTGCACATGCAGTCATAGCCTCCTGGGAGGTTCACACAAACACTATTGTTCCAGCAGGTGTGTGTCTGCAAAATGCACTCATCAATGTCTGAAAGACAGAAAATAAGGCCTCATACATAAATAAACAGGATTGATAGCTATAATATGCAAATATAATTTGTGCAGGTGATATTTCAAAATAAGAGGAGCTGTACAGATGGATGCAATATACATCAAATTAGGACTGCTACACAGCAACCTGTACACTTGTATGTGTGTAGCAGGCTTTCAAGGCTCAGGGAACATTTGCAGGTGTTCTAAGTTAATCAGCTGATCATGGCATCACCCTACATGCACCCAAAAATCAGCTTTACACTAATTTTAACTTTCTCAAATACTAAATATTTGGGGTTTTAATACCTCTAGCATATAATCATCGAAATTATAATAAATTAAGATATAAATATTTTACTCTAAATGTATTGAATCTACATACTAGGTTATGATTTCTAAAAAAAAAGAAAAAACATTTTTTTAGATGTATCTCGTTGCAGAATTCCTTATCTCCTTCTATCCCATAGTCCGGGTTTTTAACTTTCACTGTAACTATTCTGACAATCTGCTTTTCAAGGTTTCTTCTAAGAATCATCCCTACCAACCCCATAATAGGAATCCCGACTCCTCCATTTTTTCACCTCCACACCAATCTGCAGCTCTCCTCTTTGCTACATGCTCAAAGTTCTCTTAACATCTAGGTAAACTGGTCAAGCAAATGACTGGTAGTGGTTAGACTATAACTTCCTTCTCCCTTCGCCTAGTCTTCACATACACTTAAATTCAACACCTGGCAGTTTCTCTTGCATGCACTCACTAGCCAACATCATTTGAGCCTCATTTCTCATCAGTGCCTCACTCCTCTCAGCGTGTCACCATTGTTTCTGTCCTCTCAGCATATCACCAGTGCATCTCTTCTCAGCGTATCATCAGTGCATCCATCCTCTGTCCTCTTGACACAGCTTCAGCGCATCTTTCCTCTCAGGGCATCACCAGTCCTTTTCCTCCTGGCACTTTAGCGGCATTTTTCACAACTTCATCAGCGCCTCTCAATACTGTTTGCATCTTCAACGCACCTCGACACTCAGTACTTCATCAGCACATCTCTTCTGTAATTGTCACCAGACGCTCTTTTGGGGGAAGACAACTGTATTCCTTTTTTCAGGTAAGTCTCCTCCAGCTTTAGCCTAACAAACCTATAATAGAACCACAGACGCTTCTAATTCTCAGGCCCTTGCATCTGTCCACATCTCTCCTCTTTGTTACCTGCTCAAAGTTCTCTTAGCCTCAACATAAACACATTTAGCAAATGACTGATGGTGGTTGGCCATCATTTTCCCCCTTTTACCTCAACCATTCCCTCCTTTCTCTACCATAATTTCTATCCCTTCACTTCCTGGTGTGGGGGTCCCACCCAGGCACTCTTTTTGGGGGATAAAACTACTCTAACCCTGAGTGCCAAAGAAATAATTTAATTAATGTCAATTTCTGTATATCTGCTTCTATCTCTTTGAACACCAGTCGGCCTTGGCAGATGGCTTCTCACACTAAGCCTGGTTCTGCTGGAGGTTTCTCCCTGGTTAAAGTCAGTTTTCCTCTCCACTGTCGCTGCATGCATACTCTGTGTGAGGGATTGCAGAGAGTCAATGAGTCCATGCAATCAGCTGGTTTTCCTGTAATAAAAAATAAATAAATTGTGCAGTGCCTCAGAGTGCCGCTGTGTAAATGAACGGAATTGAATTGAACTTTTCTAATTGCCGCTTTTCTCTATGTGAGTTTAAATGCTATTATACTGTGAAATTATAAAAAAAATATTTAGACCACATAGAGGGATTTCTTTGTGCCTGTGTTAAAGAAAAAAAGTTTCAACTCTGTCACCAGCTTCTGCCTTTAGGCTGTGGTATTTTAAATGAATCTTTCTTACCCATTCATTTTTAATTCTATATTTCTAACTGCATGATTTATTCATACATGTACAGCCTTTTAGTGGTCTCTATGATCCATAATTTTTAATTGCATTATAATTACAACTTAGTTTACCTATGCAGATAAAACCATGTCACTGCTACCTTGGTCAGCATTCTATATAATTTAGAAAAAGAATGATATGCATTTAAATAAATCTATATAGTCCTATGTTGCATCCTGTTCTCATATATATGGATTATGCTTTGCATATTGTAATAACATCAAATTTTGATTTAGCTGAGTCATCAAAGGCCCTGTTCTGTCAGCTCTTTTTTTCCATTCCCAAAGAGACCAAAATAAGAAACCCGTAAAGAGAAGAGGTGGATGATATTTTCATCTAGTTTTCATAGCCCCAGGGTAAAGAAAGCCCCTCCTTAACTTTTACCATGGCATTTTACTCTCTTTATCCCCCTTAAATGTGAGCTGTTCAGAAAGAAAAAAAGGACCAAAGGCCTTTTGACAGCAGCTCTGTTCTTCTCTGCCAGAAGCTGCTGCCTCTAATCACCCCCATAATGCTGCTGACAGCGCACTGCTGGTGCTGCTTAAACAAAGGACCCAAAACAAAAAGAAATCCCTCAGAAAATAGGTTCCTGTTTATTAGTTGTCTTTGTTGAGCAAAACATGTCAGCAAGTCAATTTCTTTCTACCTCATTTGACTGTGAGCCCATTAAAGCAGTTTTCTTTCTTTCTGCCTGTTTCTCTGCATAGTTCTTTTACATTTCTATCACGCAATCCAGAGGATTTGATCTTTTTAAACTTTCAGTTACCAAATTGGTACAAATTAGACAAAACAAAACAGTCTCAAAATTGTTTCATCTGCCTGTATTTTTCTTTACCATATTCAGGCAAGCTTAAAGTGAATCACTCTTAAGTGGTCGGATAATAAATGCTGTCGTACAGCACATCAATACATTTTGGCTTCTGGCTTTACCCCCCTATATGACCAAGAACATTTTATGCCACAAATGATTTTCTCCACTTTTTTCCAGTTTCACACTTTCCAAAAATTAAGAAATACATTTTCTTAGTTTATTATGTTTTTAGTTTTTATTTCATTTTATTTTTTCAAACAAATTAAACTTCCTTATTTAAAAGAATAAATTCAAAGAAAGGTTTAGGTATCTCTAAAATAGTTCCAGAGATAAAATATACTTATAACATGATTTCTTTAAATTTTAGTTTTTTAATAATTTATTTGAGCCTCTCTTTTTCAGACTCAAATCATGCCCAAAACAAGTTTAATGGATTTAAAAATACCAGAACTGCAAGTAAAGAGTAAACCTTTCAGATGCCCCCCACTGGTATTTTGGCAGGATGTCACCCACCATATATTGAATATTCTGGCCTCGTATTTGACTGGTCATCTTCACAGACTTAATGATGTTCATTTCAACTGGTTGGTTTGCTTGTATTAATGTATTTTAATATATTAAACCCATTTTCAGTAAGTTTAAAGTCGGGGATAATCACAGATAGCATTTTAAAACATAATCTGATATGTGTCCAAGTTAACTTTTCAGCTACAGTTATGAGTTTATGCATAGTACTCATCTTATTCTGTCTACTCCTCCAAACAAACTCCTCGTCTTTGGAATCTAATTGTCCACACCTTGGCTCATCTGGCTATAAAACCTTTTCCAGAAGCCATGTAACTTTTTCATGAGTGGAGCTGCATATTTATGTTGAGCTTAAAAGAGCTGATTTTAAAGAAGGATCTTATTTCTTTTTCAGCACCCACTCCGTCATGGAAATTGGAAACTTATTTCATGGTGGGCAGTAACACAGGTAATCTGCCTTATTAGAGTTTATGATGGGCCTTATTTTGCATTAACAATGTTGAGCCTGTGTGGAGCTAAATCCCTTTTCAATTCAAACTTGTGCATCCAAACCTACATTTTGTTTCTCCTGAAAATCATAAGTGGTCTCCAGCAAGCAAACCTTCTCTGGGTTGACTTGGGACATACTTGTCAAACCGGCTGCAAACAAGACACTGTGACACCACTGAATGCGCCCCCTAATTGGCTCCACTATCAATTCTTCTTGAGCGGGACAGAGAGGAAAAAAGCTCAGCAGCATATTTATTGTGCCTCCGACAGGCTATTTGCATACGTTAAATGAAATCCCCATCAGCTACTCAGATATACTGTACCTCTGCTAGTGATGGATTAATACTCTTCATGTTACATTCACTGGATTTAGCCACAAGCTTCTGCTTGCAGATGAGGCTTACTCCTACATATAGGCTGTAAACAGCAAACACAAAAGCCCCTTGGATGGAGCAGCTGAGCCGAGGCAACCATACGTGAAACTTTCACTCACACCCAAGTGTACTGTCACACATGAAAGCTCTAATCCTATGTTAAAACATCACAATACATGAGCAAAAAGAAACACTACACAATAATAACACCAGACACAAGCCAGTAAATCCATGTGACAGATGTGTGTAATTAGAAGGCATCAGAAAGCTCTGTATTTGGGTATTTAAATTATGTATCCTTCTTAGGTCTTGAGGCAGTCCATATGGAGAGGTCGTGTACACTACAGAAAGAGAGAAAATGAGGCAGGCATCCTGTCTTTTTAAAGCGACAATGGGAATTTACGGTATGTTATCATCATCTTTATTCACAATCTGTTTATTACAGCCACCTGTCGCCCCCCTAAAGGGATAGGCATGATAAACATGGGAGGAGGCAGCTTTTAGTTAAAGCCGTAAAACAGTTATTGGCAGCTGCTCTGGTTCTCACCTTAGTAGTGAAGGACAACATAAAACAATGTGATTTTATCTGCTAATGCATGAGCAGCATGTCTCACAGTAAAGATTATTTTTTTTAATAAAACATTTTTTTCTGAACTGGTGGATAAACAGTGTTATCTGTAAAATTTTCTATTTCTGGGAACTCATAACAGATTTCAGACAGGTTAAACGTTCGTGAAAAAGTGGACAGTCCTTTCATGCCTAACTCACTGAGTTGTTACTTCAAAAAAAAAAAAAAGCTTTAAGGCTTAAGCTACCATCAGTTTCTTTTTTATCTTTCCAAGGATGCTTTTACTGTCAAATGTGTGGCAGTCCAGTCACATCTTTAAAGTCTGTTTGTTGCTTTTGAAGAGTCGTTTTTTGTATGGTGCAGGATGATTGTAAAGTTTTGAGCTTCATTAGGATGAGGTAACACTTTCCTTGATGAGTTACTTACAATCTGAGGAAGAGGGTTAAATGCTTTATCAGTAATCAAGTGGTCAACTAGTTATTTGCTGAATTAATCATAAAGCAGTGTAGGCTGTTGGACTCACAAAGGTTTCCATCCGTTGAGGTGAATGAATTTTTATAAGAGCAGAAATAGTTTTAAGATACTTAAAACTATTATTATTTGGTGATTGTCACCACATTTAAGAAGTACTTCCATACATCCATAAATCCACCATCTATAAATGATGCTTATGCAGAGAATTTATCAACTCACCAAAAAACAAACCCCAAAAGACGAGCAGTCTGGCTTATATGAAATTGTATATTTTACAGTATCAGTTGTGTGGAAATCTGGATTAATCTTTATCCAAAGTAGCATCTCTTCATACCATAGAAAGTTCTATTTCATTTTGTTTATTTATTTATTTATTTATTTTTTGAGCCAGGGACCATTTCAGATTTGGAAAACAACACAGTTATCAAGGAGTTTTTTTTTTTAATAATGTATTAAAATGCAATGACAGGTAGGCTAGCTTTTTGTTGACCCTTATTTAATGACAATAATAACTTTTAATAGAATACTAAAATTGGTTTTGAAACATGCCCTTGTAATAGACAAACTATTAGTATCTTTTGTACTATTTATTTAATTAATAAGACTTTTCAACATTAGCCATTGTACCTAAATAATGTAAAAAGGCATTATTACTGCGTCCTGTTTTGTCTCACTCATGCAAATTAAGTAACATAAAAAATCCACATTATTACACCAAGTGGTAAAGCTTTCCTGTAATCCTACTATCTTGATACAAATTGCTATTACATGCTTTATTGACACATGGCAGGCCATTTAGAAGACATTACAGAGTTGGAAATATCTGGTTTTACTGTAATTTCTTTGGATGGCCTAAAGCCTAACACTTGGCAGTGCGATGGGAAATAAGGCTTTTGATATATTGTTAGTACGACCAGCACATGTCCAGTCAAGGAGGCTAATATAACTAATTATAATTCGTTTTCATGGCACATGGTTTTATTACAGAAACCATAGGGAAGTTAAATTCTGTCTATTTAAGCAGAGTCTTTTAGTAGTTGGACCAAGGTGACCTGCCTGCACTCATTTCAATCTTAAGAGACTTACAAGGAGACAAGAAGGCAATTAGAGAGTTTATTGACGTGAATGAACATAAATATTTTGGTGCTCAGCCCCCCGGTAGAAAACGTAGAGCTGAGAATTGCTGATGATGATAGAATGGGTAAATTATGTGAATAGATATGTCTGCCCCTCAGGGTCTGGGCACTGGTGGTGTAGAGGTGGAGGAGGAAGGGAGATGATTGGAGTAGGAGGTGGATCAGGGTGGTGAAGGGGGTTGGAGGTTGGTTGCAGCTTGGTTGGAAGACAAATAGGAACACAATGAGGAACTTGGATGTTATTTGCTGCTGAGGAGGCTTGGTGAGAAAAAGGTTGGCAGATGTAGATCCAGAAGATGTGGCATTCAGGACATTGAGGTGAGGGTCTTACAGACTGAAAATAGGCCTAAGCTCCATTGCATTTCTTAAAAATATCTGAGGCAAAACAAGGATATGCAAAAACTTCTTCTTATGCAAAAACTAAGAAGCCCGACCTTGTAAATCTAATTTGTTAAATTAAAATGAGAGAGAATAGATTAGAGTATTTTAATAATTTCTTTTTGGAAACATTTTGTTGAAATAAACTGCTGCTCTGGAACGCTCCTTACTGTTTAAACACATTTCACCAAATCACCCAAAAACTAAAACTTGCACCATCATAGCTTGAGTCAATTTTTGCAGACCTGGTAGAATTTAAATTAGACCACTTTCAGTTTGAAATGGCTGAGAATATACCTCTCCCATCCGGGTAGATAAATGAGAACAGTCTGCTGATGTTGCATTTTGATTCAAAGGTTAATTGACAGCAGAAATATTTCACTCAGTCAAGCAGTCCTGTTTGCTGCATTCATTACAAGTACAAAGCTGCCATGCTTGGATTGTTAAGAAGAATGTCCAGATTTTGAGAGATTCTGAGCACCTGTTCTCATATAAGCCGAAGGTCACGTGTAATATAGCGAGGAGGTGAAGTACTTGATATTCATTTAATGTAAGAGACAGATATGAGCAAGCAGGTAAATGAGAACTTTAAATGTCACTGAACAGCCAAGCCTGTTTATAACAGATTGTACATTTTTAAATGAGTCCTTGTAAAAATTAGCATTGTTAGATTGTACCTTTAAAATATAACTGAATAATATAATCATATATAATTGAAATATAACCTTAAAAGCAATAAACTGCACCAAAAAATGGCAAAATTTAAAAAAGATATTTTATTTAAATGTGAGCTCCCTTCTCCAAGAAGGTGGAAGAGGAAAAAGTTACAGCTGTAATTAGCGGTTTTATAAAGCCCAGAAAGCCAATTATAGTTGCCCCTCTGGAAGTGAAAGTGTTTTAGAGATTCGAAGTTCATCCAACATTGAAAGAAGAAGTGTTAGGTGCAGTTACACAGAGACAAATGTAAAGCTGTGAGGATGTTTGATCCAGATATGCACTTATTATGGTTATTCTAGTATCTATGGGATAATCACTGGTTATATGATGTTATTGATTTTATTACACAAAGAAAACCATAATAGCATAATGAAATAGTTTTGAATTCATATTTTTTAAAGGTAGGATTGATTAGATATTTTATGTCAGTTAGCTGAATTTATATTCACCCCCAACATTTTTTAGTTAAAAAATTTCAGGAGCTGATTTTTAAAACAATGGCACAACAATATATTTGACATTTTACCTGAAATTTAAACATAAATGGTTATTTTTTTTATGTAAAATTTGTAAATGGAGTATATACATTATATTCCTACATGTATTACAAGATGTGAGTAGTAACTAGTTGCATTTACTTGAGTAACTTTAGGAAAAAAATATCTTTTAGCAATAGATATTGGGCGTTGAAATTTAAAATTTTACTTGAGCAAAAATATCACAAAGTATCACTAGTCTTACTTGAGTAAAATGTCAATGGCTGCTCCATCCATTGTCAGTAACTATTCTTAATGAAAACAAGCTTATTTTAAACAAATATAAGTGACACACTTTTTCCTTTTTTTATACTCAAGGCTTAACATTTAACTTACTGGTTAAATGTTACTTTCCATATGCGGAGGCAGCCATGTCATTTGGAGGAACCTATTCTTATACATTGTATGTATTTTTTTCCCTAAGTTTTCAGTATTCTTTACACCTTTATTTCTACATTATTCTTCAAAAACTCATCACTTTGTAAAATATTTATTAAAATATTATGAACAGTCACACAGTACTTGAACAGCTTTTTTACAAAAAGTGTATTCAATCTTACCTGAGTAATTTCTTTAAAGGTAACTTTTTACTTTTACCTGAGTAAAAATATGATGAAGTTCTGCTACTCTTAAGTACACATTTTGGCTACTCTATCAGTCTGTTTATTACATCTAATTCCTCATTTCCTGCAATGCATATGGTAAGGAAATATTTCTGTGTTTTAAATATGCTTTTTAGAGGCAAAGTTTCTCTGTTTTAAGCATCATTCGAAAATAAAAATAACTTTTGAAAGTTTAGTATGTGCATTAATTTGAGATAGATAAATCTATCAACAATGCAAGGTTAAAATTACATTAAAAAAGACATAATTTAGGAAAATGATAAAAGAAAAGCCAAGCAGCGAACTGTATAGGTGCCATAATCATAGCTGCAGTTATGAGCATAGAGGAAATAAATACTTCATTACTTAACAGACAGAAAAAGAAAAAATGTCAATAGACGTGAGGATGATGGACATCTAATGATGTGCGGCTGGTTTTCTTTGCCCTGATAAGGGTGATTTTAGCTCACTCTGCTCACCAATGCAAGAACTTCCGTCAAGCTGGTAGGACCCATTGTCATGGAAACCACTTCTGCATTCACAGTGGTACCAGCCGGGTAGGTTGACACAGCGGGAGTGGTTGTGGCACTCGATCAGGCCTTCTGCACACTCATCTATATCTGAAGACACACATATGGCAACATCAGAATCAGTTTAAACATTTTTTTTTTTTTAAGAGGAAACTTGAATTTGAAACTTCAGCTCACTTTTTGATTTGATGTCCTTTTAAATCTAAACATGGTACACTGGCTGAGGAATATCTAAGCAGAACAAATCACTGCCGCAACTGCAGAGAAGGAGCAGTGTTTGCTCACATCAGACAGCTCCTCTGTCGCCTGTCTTCCACAGCAATAATCAAATTCCTCGAAATAGCTTTGTTTTAAAGCAGAAATCTTTATATTGTGAATATTCCCATATAACTTCTCTAGCTTATTGCAGCTCTCTCACTCAGCAAAGTATGGTGTGCAGCATGCATACGCATGCCCAGCCTTAAGGTTTAAGGTCTTTATACCTTCTACCCCTTCCAGAGTAAATGTGTCTCATCCATTATGGATGCTGTTAGCTTGCTCCTCATCTACAGCTCTCTCCCTGCTGGCTCTAAAAGCTGACCTACGTGCACACTTTGGTTAAGGTGTAACTCAAGGTCACACCTTCGATTGAGTTAATGCAGAACTGGGCAAACAGAAAACAAAAGTCAGGGAATCTGCATTGACTTCTCCATTTTTCTCAAGTTCCTCAGCATAAAGGAATTATTGGTGTATACTTTTGACTTGGTAACGAGAATGATTAAAATATATTTTATCACCCTAGAAGTTTTATTTTACTTTAAGGTTTGGACAGGTAAAACACATCAGATATCTTTAGTACATGTCCTAGAAACTGTTAGAAAATGTATGCTATTTGCATAAGATGTGTTCTTAAGCAAAAGCATCCAGTAGCATCATATTATTTACCACATTGTATATCATGTTTTCCAAAAAATATTAAAATTTATATAGTTTTAAATCAAAATCAAATAAATGTTGGTAAAGAAGGTGTGTATATAAATAAATATATATATAGAGTATGAAGTGTACAATTTGCTATTCCTGTCTTTTACCTTGTTTCAGTGTTACCAGTAGAATGATTCCTGGTCTACCTTTAAAGACTGAGCTTGAGTTCCTTGGCTCAGTACCTCCTATGTAAACACTACTGACTGTCTGACAACCCTACAATGAAACCAAAGCTATTCCTGCAAACCTCCTCTAGAATCAAATAATTTCCCTGACAGTAACTACTACACAAAATACCACATCCCCTTTGGAAATTAGGTATTTTACTTTCCAATATCCTCTTTCCACACCTTCGAGTGAGCTGCTGTCACCTTGCAGACTGCCTCTCTGAATCACTCTTTTACAATAAACCATTTTTTTTCACATCAGCTTCCTGTGTTTTTCTACATGTGGGCCAAAAAGTTACCTAAAATGATGCAGGCTATCTGGTACTGGTGATAGCAGTTTTTAGATTGTTATTTATAGAGACAAAAAAGTTTATACAGAATGGGATTTGCACAATGTTCACCACTGTTCAAGTTTCCAATTTGTAACATAAGCTTAAAGATGGTACATAATATTTGTGTCAGCTGATCTAACCCAGTGCAATAACTAAGTGAACTATCATGAGAAATGTTTGACATATATTATCTGAAGATAAATATGTTTTTTTTCCCCCTTTGATTTTTATTTAGTTTTCTTTGTTTTGTGTGTGTGTGTTTTTTTATAGTTGTGGCACGTGATCGGGACCCAATAAATCTGTCTTTGTGCTTCCATTGTAGGGTTGAATGGTGGCTATTGCAGTTGAATTTTCAGATGGTTCTAATGTTCTTACATCACTGATACTTACTTACATCATAGTTGCCACATGTTCATCCAACTCAGCCATAACCTATTCTTTGGAAGCACCAGGTTTAGAGTATCACTGCAACAGGACCATAAGACTCTGGATCACTCGGCATAACTAAGGGAGAAAAAAACCCATCCCCCTCAAAATAATCTCTCATAACCAGCTGCATCCCTCGGTTCACTGTCAGTCCCTCAATATGTCAAATTAAGACTTTCGATCTGCCCCTCAGGGCCACTTGGCACTGACAAATTTGGTGGCTTTTTGCAAAGATTGTCTGGGATCGTGTTATGCTTTTGCATTTGGGTAAGTTGCATTTGAAATGAGACATTACTCTTCAAGATTTTAGAATTAGTGAAATTATACAGTGATAAGTTGTATCCTTAAACTTTGTACCGCTATATCACATTAGAACTGTTGGTAGCTGCTAGTAGCTGGTGCAGAAAAATGACTGATAATCTTTACCCTCTTAAAACAGTTCATTGAAAATTTCCTCTTATCCTGCATAAAGTTGGGAAACAACATATAAATTACAAAGAAACCAGACTTTTATCTTGTAACTTATTAAATATAGTTATATAGTTATATTAATTTGTCTACAGTAATCTCTACGTATCCCATACTTGTTTCATAATCAACAAAGTTTATGAGAATGTCATTCAATCACAACATAACAGCTTCCATTTAAATCAAGCTGTGCAGTAGTTTGTCAGTTTTTAATAGTAGGGTTACATTTGCTAAAGTCAGGGGTGAAATAAAGTATGTTTTGAGACTGTGTACAACAAAAAAATTCAGCGGCAGTTCACAGTACTGGCAAGAGGAGACATATTTTTCCACAACCAGCCATGGCTGCATGTTGGGTAAGAAAATTGATCCGATAGCAACATGCCGTCTAAAAAAAAGGACTTAATCTGTTTTGAAATTGTTCTTTACAGTCAGTCTCAATTGTTTCCTAACTACCAGTGCTGTTTTTTGGAGCTCAGCGCTGTTGCATGTTTTCTCTCCTCTCCCCTTGGAGCCTGGGGCTCTCAACAGTGGCCAGGCATCAAAATGTGAATTCCTGTGTTGCAAAATGTCCGAACTAAAATAAATGGGAGAGTTAGCAGTTGTGTTTCTTTAACCAGACAAAGCATAAGTGATTGAGCAAATGACAACAGAATTGACAGCCATAGAATTACTGCTTACAAATGCTTATATATGTGTATATATTTATATTTATACTATCTTGTGTGGTTTGTTGTACCACATATATATATATATATGTATATATATGTGTATCTGGAATGTGTAACAAACGTAATTTCCCTCTGGGATTATTAAAGTATGTCTGATTCTGATTCTGAAATACAACCAATGCTAGGGGAGTGGCGTGCTTGTTTAATGCAATGTCGGTGAAGCATTCTTGTAGTTGCCTGAAATATTTCAGGGCAACTTAATAGTATGTCAAATAACATTATACATAGTATGTCAGAAAGGGCTTATAGGTAATTAATTTAGGATCCTTTTTCAAATACATGTTGGTGGAACTAAGGCACTGGAAAAATGTAAGTTGTAGTTTGATAATCAGATAGAATCATAGAATTCAAATCAGGCAGAGCAAAATTAAACCCACCAGAGGAGTTCTGGATTTAGTATAGTTTGGGCTTAATAACTACAAATTCTGAGTGAGTGGTTTTCTCTGCAAATGGCAAGTTTAAAGGAATAGTACACCCAAAACATGATTAGCCTTCATTTTCTACTCACCCCCATGCTGAACAACACTCTGGAGTACTTTTTTGATATCTCAAATGCATCTGGAGATCTGGGAGGCTTCTTGCTGTCTGCTGACATTCAAATAATGGAGGTCTATGGTGCCCGAGGCAGAAAGGTCCATAAAAGTCCACAAAAAACGTGTCAATATTCCTCCATACTGCTCGTCCAATGTATTCCAAGTGTCCTGAGTGGGTAGCATCCAGAATTTACTCGAAACAAAGTCATTTAGAATGTTTTTAGAGCATAAACAGTAGTGTATAGGATTTCCTGAAAGCGTGCGCCTGCGAGTTCAGGATGCTACAGAAACCGCGGCAGACCAAACCAGATGAAAGTGCGCATTCAGCAAAGAACTCATGCTCTTCCTCAACACTGAAGTCCTCAGACATTTTTCTTTCGTTGTTTCTTTCTTTGCACAGGTAAACAGCACATTTCTTCTTCTACGCTTGCATTATTGGCAGAGCAGACGCTGAATGCGCACTTTCATCTGGTTTGGTCTGCCGGCTTCCGTAGCGTTGTGAACGCGCAGGCGCGCGCTTTTAGGAAATCCTATACACTACTGTTTATGCTCTAAAAACATTCTAAATGACTTTGTTTCGAGTAAATTATGGACCCTACCCACTCAGGACACTTGGAATACATTGGACGAGCAGTATGGAGGAATATTGACACGTTTCTTGTGGACTTTTATGGACCTTTCTGTCTCGGGCACCATAGACCTCCATTATTTGAATGTCAGCAGACAGCAAGAAGCCTCCCAGATCTCCAGATGCATTTGAGATATCAAAAAAGTACTCCAGGGTGTTGTTCAGCATGGGGGTGAGTAGAAAATGAAGGCTAATCATGTTTTGGGTGTACTATTCCTTTAAGAATTTGTATGTCCTAATTATGTTTATTTGATTAGTAATTTAATTGACGCTCAATTCAATAATCTATATATCACAATTAATCTTAGCAATTGTTTATCACTTATTCCCTACAATGGAAGCATGTATTGATTTGAGTTTGGACCTTGCTGTTTTCAAATGCATAAAAAGAGAAAAAGGACGTGGGCCAATAGGTTTTATGTGATAGTATCAGCATAAATAAAAAAATAGTTTTATCCCTAGTTATAGAATCATAATGAAAATTACTTTATTAATCCCTTGCAGGCAATTCTTTTCTTGCAGTGCACCCATTTACAAAAGAGATAGAGCAAATTAAAACATAATAAAATAGGACATAAAGATTCAGTAGATGACGCCCCAACTCAGCATTGGTCGCTGCAATATCTGTGATCCAGATGCAAATATATTATGTGATAATACTGTCATTATCAACTGTTGAAAATAAGAAACAATGTTCAGTGTAGTTTCTGAAAGTAATGATGGGTGTGAGTCTCACTAGAAGTGTCAATAAAGTTTTCTAGAAAAAAAAAAAGCAAAGCAATACATTATAGTGGATGCTGGATTCTGTTGTTATTAAACTCTGGAATGATAGAAAATGGCAGTTT